TGATTGTGCTGTACATAGCACACTCCACAGAAGTAAAAGTGGGCATTTTGTAAGCCCCAGTATCTGTTAAAGGCGCGTGAATCTTGATCTGCCTCATGTGAGTGTCCCTTCCGTTTTGATGATTGGATAAAACCGCTATTTGCAACATGTACGTTTTCAAAGGCTTGTCCCCATCCGACAAAGACACTGTCAGCCATCCGCTTGGTTCCTCGAGCTCTATCAGTTCTATCTGGTGTAGGTCGTGAAAGTGATTCCCAGCACGAACGGATATTTTACTCGGTGTGTAGCTTTCATCTGCCTTGTAATCTGCGTACAAGCAAATGTTTTGAATCGCTGTTTTCCGCCGGAATTGAATGCTCACCAAATGCGGTTGTGGTCCATCAGATTGCCAGTACGTTTCTAGGTTTCCATCACGAAGCTGCTCTACTCCGAAGCCAGGTTTACATGATGATAACGACCACACTGCCTGATCCCCTATCTCTCGATATTTCTCGCCGCTGATGCCATCAATTTGCGGCTCGGTGTTCGAGAGCTCCTCCACCCGAACCGCCATTTTGAATTTAGCGCGCAATAGGCATGCGTTAACTAAAAGAACCGCTGAGGTAATTACACTTACGTGCTACCGACGCCATCGTAGGTGATCTGAAAGACGCACGAGAATGGTGAGTTAAATTCTTTTTTAGAGTTCAAAACGTTCGAAAATGAGATCGGTTTTGTAATAATCAAGGAAAGGTAGCCCATCAACTAGAGATGTAACTTGCCAAATAATAAATCGGCGATTTGATGTGAGATTTTTTGTCATTTTAACTTGCAGACAGACAGATACAACATTCACAGCCAACTTGAACATTGTAAGTATGCTTATTATTAAAAAAATTGTTAATCATAACCAGTTGTACTGCACTAAAACCGGCTTTATCTGATCATTAGCATCAGAGTCTAGAACTTGACATTTATTTTGTTACGTACATATCCATCATTAAAAAGTTTCAGCTACGGCAGACCACACTATATGTTCGTGGCTAATAATTGTTGACATGAGACGAACAAAATCTATGAGGGTTATGAATAAAGCTCCGCAACTTGGTGGCCGGCAGCCGCGACTTCCTGCACTTCAAACTGAAGTAGTAGTTTAAAGTTAATTCTAGTCTTAGTGGAGGAAGTAGCAGCAGCCGGCCAAGTTGCAAGCCTTGTCTCCTTTTCTTCTGTGGACAGCCTCCAGCCAAAGGTAATTTTGTGAAGAGACTATTCAAGTGGTTCATTAAGGTGAAAAAACATACTGTGAGTGCATTGATTAACATTTCATTCAACTTTATTGTGATTTTCAGACCAAGACATTATTTAGATATGCATTTTTCCCATGTCAACAATTATTAACCATGAACACGTAGTGTGGTCTGCCTGTGGTTTCAGTCTCTGGTTTCAACAGAAAAGGTCAATCATTCTGCTGTTGGTTTGCCTGGTGTATTCCTTTAGATAGTAAAGCTTGCAAGGAAAGACCTCAGTGTTAGATGATACGGTTGCAACAACTAGCTTGTCGTTTAATTTTGTTCTATAAATATTTTACCAACTTTCTCCCTTGTTTCAGTACAATCAAAATATGTCGGCACTGGTCATTCAGACACAACTAAATTGTAAGTATTTTCATTTATTTAATGGTTTCCTACTG